ATAAAACCAACAGATCTTTGGATTTATGGCCATCTTGGACTCCAAGGAGCATTGTGGCTGCACTGAATGCTCTGCCAGAATGCTCCTTGGAGTCCAAGATGGCCAATCTTCTCTCGTACTTCGGACGTACTGTCAGGATAGAACAGATGCTAGAGAAGGATATCATGCATATTGGTAAGATGGAGGGTCGGAGAAAAAGAGGAAGACCACAGTGAGATGGATTGGCCATTTAGCAGCATCCATGGACTCAAATGTGGCAACAGTAATGAGGTTGGCCCAGGATCGAACATTGTTTCGCTCAGCTGTGCATAGGGTCACTATGAGTTGGTGCCGACTCGATGGCACCTAACCACAAAATACTACCAAAGCTCCTTTGGGTTGTTGTTAACTACCGTGGAGTTGGTTCTGACTCATAGTGACCCTACACAGGGTTTCTGAGGCTGCAAATCTTTACAGGAGCAGAAAACCTCATCTTTCTGGTAGCATAGTGGTTACAAATCGGGCTGCTAACCTCAAGGTCAGCAGTTCAAAACTACCAGCTGTTCTGTGGAAAAAGGTAAGGCTTTCGGCTCCCATAAAGATTTACAGCCTTGGAAAACCTATGCAGCGTCGCTATGAGTTGGAACTGACTCCATGGTGCATAACCATCACTAATGGCTAATGATCATGAACATAACTTGATGTTCATTGGCTGTCTGAATATCTCCCTTGGTGAAGTGTCCGCTTATGTCCTGTGCACATTTTTAAATTGGGTTGTCTTTTTTTTGCAGAGGTGTTGCTGTTTCCTATACAGTTTAGGGATTAGTCCCTTGGCTGATATGTCATTGCAAAAATTACTTTACCAGTTTATGGGCTGCCTTTCATTTTTTTGGTGAAATCTTTTGATGCGTATGATTCTAATTTTTAGTATGTTCCAGTCATCTATTTTGTCTTCTGTTGTTTGTGTGCTTTTTGCACTGTTTGATAATCTATATATGCCATGTATTAGAGTCCCTAAGTTTGTCCCTAATTTTTCACTGATGCTCTTTATAGCTCTGGGAGTTACATTTAGGTTTTTAATCCATGTTGAATTAATTTCATATATGGTGTGAGATATTGATCTT